CAAACTTTCGCAACTATTTTTCGAGGGTTGAAAAAAACAAGAAGTAATCTAAAAACGACATTGAAAATTATGAAAACTCGCTAAAACTCCGACCCGTTGCATGATTTCCGGTACACTGAAGGTCACCCTGCAGACCGACTTGTTTGCGCATACGTAGTGAACGAAATATTTTACTTCGCAGATATATAATTTTTTTTTTCAAGTTTTCCGTTTCCAGCAAAGCGGTTGATACGGGTGTATTGGCGGCAACTAACATGGAGTATGACTAATGTTGTGGAAACAAAAGCGAAAGCACTGTAAGATAAACTAAGACAAAGGTTTTTTTAATCCTCTTAGTTTCGTTGTTCTTCCTGGGGGTTTATAGTGACTAATTCTTAATTCACACTCTGTTTATGGGGTAAATCGCGTGTGTCATAGCTTAGTATGTCACGTGACTTGAAACATTATATAATGTTGTCATTTTGGACATGCATCTGAATGGGTCCTGTTTTCTAGATTTTGGGTATAAATGAATATGGGTCTGATTTACTGTCCGAATTGGTATATACTTATAAATGACATGCTTGACAAAATATTTAGATGACATTACAAATAAAAAAAAAAAACAGGATTGCTCTGTCAAGGTTTAGAGTATCGGCACATTTGGGAGACATTCAGATAATAAGAGAGAAGAAAGACTATAAAATCCATGATTGCAACAAGATTGGAGATGAAAAACATTACCTAAATGAGATTTGGGGCATAGAAGACAAATATAATTCCTTTGTGAAGAAACTGCTGCCAATCACTATTATGTAACAGTGACTGTAAATAAACTTCCCTTTGTTATCTGTTTATAAACATACTTCCTGTATTTACTTCTACACTGCCTTCACACTTTAACAGAAAGTACTCTGAATTTGAAAAGTCACGCCTCCATTATTCAACTAAACTTGATGCAGAGGAAACACGATCTGTAGAATAGCCGTTATCACTTACCGGGGATGATTATCTGAGTTTCAAACACAAAATCGTGATATCAGTGTTTCATATCGAATAATCATATCGCTACTTCGTTGTGTAAACTCGTACATACACGTTTATTTACTTACAATTTAACATTTTCGATAAACCTGAAGTATTCATTTGCCAAATAAGATTTACATCTTTTGTGTGGCACGTGCTGAAATATGAGCGGTATTCAAACCACTTTACTGACGATAGTTATTGACGATTCCGCGACAGAAATGAAACTTCAAAAAAAAAAAATTGTATGGATCCACGATCTGTCTACATTTATCGTACCCCATTTATCGTAGTCACACACTATGTGACTTCACAGTTATTATACACGACTATCGTCAGTATAGACTCCTACCTCTCCACACAAATAATGGTTGTTTCCGTGAAATCTCGATGTTTATTTTTCTCGCGCACGCGCAGTCGCTGCTCAAATGACCTTGGAGTGTGTGTTTTGAGTGGTGGCTGTCAAACGAGCTGGATGAGATCATCGTAGGCGACTACTGCGCAGTACTGCGCACAACGTACACTGAGCCGGTATTTTGTTCTGCACTCAATATGCCAGTGTAGGTTCTTATGGTGCTACAAGATGCGGTTAGAATTCGACGAGGTTTTGATCCATCTTGGTGATTTCGGACGCTATCAAAAATTAGTATACTCTTTATTATGTTTTTGTATGATACCCAGTTGTATATTGATTCTAAGCCCAGCATTCATAAGCGCCGATGTACCTCACGTTTGTAAAATTTCAACCGAACTCTTATCGAAGAACAATGCCACGGTTGGTATGTATATACCGTATGAAATGAACGACAATCGATGCCAGCCGAGCAGCTGTTCTCGCTACGATTTGCACACTCGAAATATGAATGAAAGTATAGATTATACAACAAGAAATAATATAACCTGCAAAACGAAATGGGCGACAATGGCTTGTGACAACGGTTGGAGTTTCGATATTGCAAACCACAGATCTAGCATCGCCACAGAGGTAAGTTTTCATTTTCAAAACCAATTGATATATGCGGTAAACTCTCAGTCATTCAATGTGTGATTCTATACTTTGTTGAATATTCATATCTATATGCACAGTTGATTTGTCGAATTTCGCAACTCGTGATTTTCAAATTCCGTGCTCTATTCAGGGCCCGTAGATAGCTTTTTAACGGGAGACATTAGTAAAAATAAGTTTTAGATTTCTTAAAAAAATGTGTGAAATGTGGTGCTTTTTTAAGAAAATCCCTAAAATTCAAGGGTCAGCTCCCCCCCCCTAGCTACGACCGTTACTACGTGGTGCTATCTATGTATATGCATGTTATATTAACAAAATACTAGTTAGAATTCGCCGGGAGATGGTTGAATTATCTCGGTATTTGTCCAGGTGTTAATAATGCTCTGAATGGTTGACGTCATATCGTTTTCAATTGTAAGTGAGAAGATGTGAACGCGAGAAGCTACACAATATACAATCGTGACTTCTATTATAAAAATAATTGATTAATAACTGCAAATAATCAATATTAACCACAGTATAATAACCAGTCTTTAATGATACTGTCTCTGTTAATCAAGGACAAAGATATACCCTGTGCACGGGGTTAGGTGTTGGACGCTTTTAATTTGCGGCGTTGGAACGAAGCATGTCCAGCAAAACTCACGATTCTCTAAGACAAGCCTACGTCACAAACTGGTCAAAATCCCCCAAACATTGCCAGCAACCAATCACAGACTAGCTTAAACAATAGCTTTCCCTGACGATAATACTTAGCAACGTTATTTCCCCCACGCTAACTTGAAAAATCTTTTGTTTTTGTCTCGTTTCCGTTTCCGGTCTGTCTTAGAGATAAGATTCGATTGCAACACGAAATTACGTATTTCTATATTTAGAACTTGACGTCGTGTCAGCACCGTGACTACGTCACGTGCATAATTTCCCTAGTGAGAACAGTGTAGTTGGTCATTGTATTTTGATATCTTCTAAGTAGGGGCTATTGTGAATGGGTGTCATTTGATAACAATATGTAAACAAAAGTCAATAGTTATCAGATATGAGACTACAGAACACAGATCGATATTCATTGAGTGATTGCGACCACAAAACTGACTTATGATAGGCGGGGGAGATCGTATGTCGAGCTAAATCCAGACAACAGCTGATTTATATTGTGATCTGAACTCCCATTTCCCTGCGGGGTAGCAGAGTATCAGATCTGCTGTATATTAGAAATACAAGTATTGAGCGTTGCATACTGGACTATTTGTGTACGCTCTTACCGCCCGGTAACTTTTCCCGTACGTACTTTTATCCAACCAACAGTGAAACTAAACTACGATTTTCTTGAATACCCAAAAGAACACTTTACGACTCGACGTCTCATCTACTCTGATCTGTATAAGGGCTACACCGTTTGTCATGCTGATCAAATTTGTTGAACGCAGTTGCAAGCTAGACACGAACAGAAAACAAAACCAGATGCATGCAAAATGTTGCAGAGAAAAACTGTAAAAAGAAAATGCACAGATAAGACGCAAAACAAATGCACTGGTCACACTCTTTCAGCCACCCCCATGATTTCAAATGGTCGAACCCTTATTTGTGCATTTCGCCAAGTTGTTAGGCGTTTATCTTGTTTCTTTTGTAACAGCTTGACGATGCAATGCGGATTTTTTTTTTCACTCGACCTATTAATATACTAGTACTAGGTTTACACGACAGCATTTTATCAGAGCTACTGCTTCTCGCAAATAACAGAGGGGATATCTCCCATGCGTTTATACGGTCGTGGTCGAACGTGGTAGAGAATATTGTTTAGACGATCGGCCCATAATAGCGTTTATTGAAGCCGAACTCAATGCGAGCGAACTCTTGCTGAACGCGTACGATATATTTTTGCTGACTCTAGCTGTTGGGCTCTAATACAACACTGCATGACAATGCTATCGAGGGTCGCCTGTAAATCTACCCTCATCTTTTAAGAGTCTAATTTGAAATAGAAATTATTTTTGTTTTTAAAGAAACAAACGATAATATTATAAAAATATAAAAGGGCCTCCCATATAATGTATCCCGGATACAGCTGTCAGCCATGTGTACTTCTCCTGACCTGTATCACGAGAGCAGATCCAGTAGAAACCAGTTCTAAATCATAGGCATAATGACATTGTGCTTCTGAAATGTTAATTTGTAGAACGCATGCGCATTTCAGTACATCATTGTTGTTGTTAGGCTGATCATGGAGGTAGAATCTCTTTTCTACCTCCATGGGCTGATGAAATCAGCTGAGTCGGATACATAAGTATGGCTATAATTGTTCAAGGACTCTAATTTCCCCCGTCAGTCAGTTCTTCATGTTCGCCGGTCACGGCTTTGTTTTTCCGCACGTTGATTGTGCGTCTGATTGAACCCCCTTTATGGCAACCTTAATTTGGTCTCTTTTTTCACGTCTCTGCCTTTGCCAATGAATCCAGAGTATGAATAAATAACATACTGGATATATTGTAGAGAAATCCATTCGATTTTCTTTTATTTTTATTACAAACAAATTAACGATACAAAATATATGACGATGCTTAATAATACGGTCAATCATATGGAGATTTGTGGTTATTTAATAAAATTCAGACTTAAAATTGCTGACTAAGCCAAATGCTTGTGTGATGCAGCTGTGACCGCCAAATGTCGTTTCAGGCAGGGTTATAGCGTACGAGTTCTGTACGACCTACAACAAATGGGTCATGGTTGAATGAGTCAACGAAGCGATACACAGTGTATACAGGCTACTAATACTAGTAAAAGGAATTTGGGTGAATTTGTATATGTTGAAGGCCTTCGGGAAGCGCGGCATAGGGCGGAATAAGGGAGGTGTCGTTATACAAATGGAGGGTGTCAACGAGCTGTCTATAAGCACCGTAAGTGTAGGCACGGTTACTAAAAAAGACGGTTAGGAAACGCTATTGTTAAAAGGTGTGAATCTGCCTAATCCCTCAAGGATGCGTGTCGCGCTGTGTACGCCCTCCATTGCTTGAGATTTCAAGGCTCACCATTTTGTTTCATTTTTGTGTCGATCACTTGATGTTCCCCGAATTTGAAATTTTAAGCTCGTTTTCGATAGAATATCCACGTTTAGTGCACAAGCTCAACGAAAAACTACACATACATTTCGGATGAGTACTCTTTGTGACTGTGATAACATTCAGAATCGAGAATCGTCATTTATCGTTTTCACTGTTGTCATGAAAGTAAGCTTGGGTCCCGGTAGAAAAAGTTATGAAAATTCTAACCCCTAAGTCACTATTTTAAAATACATTATATTATAAAAAATACTACCAAATGAATTTTTAGTATACTACTGTGCGTACTTATGAAGGTTGTGTGCGATTTGGGGGCTTATTAGAGTAAATTTTATCGTTTTGCTTTCGCGTCACTCTATCAGCCATTTTGTTTAACGTCGTAACACTTTTTTTGTAGACGCCGTAGAAATCGTTGAAAATGTATTCAACATTTTCCGCCAGTTTCATAAAAAGCCTGTTTAATTGTTCTTGTCTGCCCTTGTTTCAGTTTGTTGGCAAATTTTTCATGTTGCAATATTCAGCGTGCCGTTAAATGCGGTTTTAGTCAACGCTACAATGTTTGAACACATTGAACTGTCGGTACAACTTTCTAGCAGTCTCTTCGCCAAATCAATTTTTCGAACCCTTTTTAACTGTTCTTAATTTCATTGGAACTGCCGGTTGTTGTATATTTGGTCTGCTTACATGCATTTTGTAGAGCATGGGCGGGTAATTTCAGTTATCTTATCGCATATTTTGTTTATTTCCAACAAAATGTATGTGGTATCATGGCTCCTCATTAAAACTTTCGCCTGGCTGAAATATTAACACTTGTATGGTTTCTTTGACGTCTTTTTTCTGATTATGTTTTGTTGGTTTTTTTATTTCAGTTTTCTGCCGATCTTGTTCTTTAGAAACCAAAATGCCATACAAGACAGGCAAATTTGTATTGAGTTTAAACCGAGCGACAGGTTTTGTCAGGATTCACTGGAACAACTTACACTTTAGTATTACTGAAAGTATCGACAGAGACACAATAAAATGGCGTGCAGTTGTTGATTGCAATGAGCTCTGGGAAAGATGACGTCATATTTGCGTGATTTCCTGTCTACATTTTATCACAGATTAGTACGTCTTTTGTTTCAAATGTTTACCCGTGACACGCATTCAATGAAAAGAACATGGTTTGTTTCCTAACCGTCTTTTTTTTAGTAACCGTGGTGTAGGAAACACCAAGAGACTGGTGGGTGATGGCCGAAACAGCTCCGTAATGTCCCGTGCATGGCATTAGCTAGTTATAAATAAAAAAGCCTACTTATAAACAGATAAGAAATAGTAGTTTATTTACCGTCACTGTTACGTAACAGTGATTGACAAGGGTTTATTCAGAACAGATTTCCGTGTTTTCTTCTCTGCCTTCGAATCGAGAGTTGGAGGAAATGGACCAATTAGAAACATTATGATCGCCTTTGTTCTAGGCCCATTGCAGTATATAGTCAGAATGAGAGGGGGGGTAATGTAGGAGTGGGAGTACGAGTTTGGATAAGTTGTGAGCAATCTGAAGGCCAGAATGCTATAGCACACACGATCACGTATGTTCATTGTGCACTGAAATAAGGGCGAAAATTAGTATTGGCGGCGCTTTCCGTGTAACTAGTAAAAATGCAATCTGGACAAAAACTTTTCTGGTTAAATCTGTCGTTTGATACCATATATTGATGGCGGAAATTGATTATAATTATGATATTGTACCAGTAATCTAGCAACGTGCTTCGGCAATATACTGTACTGTATTTATTCCATGAGAAATGAAAAATAATAATACGCATGCGCAGAAAATGTTGTTTGACGTACCAAATCAATCTACGCGCTTGTGTACGAAAAAATGCCAGTGTTTTGTGGAACAAATACCCAGTTTTGTGATCCAAGAACACCAATTTCAGTTCATGACAGATCATAATCCAATGTATTTTCTTACAATGCCGTGTAGTTTGAAACATCATTATGAACACTTAGATGTTCTCATCCATATTATCATCGATTATGCCACAGCGTTCAAATTTATCACACAGTGTCATCATGGTATCATCACTATTTGAACAAAACGATTTGTCTCGACGTTTGTATTTGTTCAACACTGTAAACTTGAAAACATAGATTTTCAAAACGAGAAAATAATCAACGCATTTGCCTCATTGGGAGGTATGTATAGAGTTTCACGAGTGCTCAGATTGCGCAATGCATGGAGTGTCTTTAATTTTAATGCTCAGATGCCAAGTCATGATAGAGTTGATTTTTATTGAGAGACTTAGTTTCACCATGGAGGTAGAAAAGATCTACCTCCATGTTTGCACATACCCTAACCTGCGTGCAATAATTTCTTTAAATATAGGAAGGGAATCCCGGTAGCCGTACATTGATGTCAGGAATAGTTTTATTTGTATCAATTTATTTTCATAAATATTACACAAAACACGTTACGGTCGC